AAATATTATTTTTATTCAAAATTTCACATTTTTTTTAATTTTTTTTAATTTTGTCTCTAATATATATTTTTTAATAAAATTTAAATTAAAATAATTTTTTTAATTATTTATATATTTTATAAATACAATAAAAATTTATCCTTAACCAATTTTCGGGACTCGAGTATTACAAATATTATATTAATTATCTTCTTACAGTTAATTATTTTTAATTTTAGAAAATTAAATTAAACATAATACTATAATAATGATTTATTTTGTTTATTTTATTTTTTGAATTTTTATATATTAAAACGAGATAAACATGTTCCATTTTTTTCCTTTAAAAATAATTTTTTTCATTTTAATTTCTTCTTTATTTATTTACTAATGAATAAAATTTATTTTAGTATTAGAAAATGTTACTTTTAATTCGTACTGGGTTTCTAATTTCTTAAGTCAAAAAGTAATCATGTAATTATTATTTTTGATAAGTTATTTCTTAACTGAAAGTTTAAAAAACAATTATCATATGACACTAATTAAAGCAGCCATATAATTATTTTTTATTCAAAGAAATTATTATTTAATTTAAAGTTCAAAAAACAAAAAAAAAAAGCTATTGCCTGCTGCGTAATAGGAGAGTTCTGAATAAATATTTTGGGCCAATGGCCCAACTGAATCTTACTGAGCCTAAGTATTTAAACTATAATATTTTTTGTATTAATAAATATTAATAATATGATTAAGAGTATAATTAATATCAAATAATTGGGAGATTAATAAGAAATTAATGTAACTTTTATTACATCAAATATTCAACCAAAACCCATCATTTTTCTCTTAATTATTTTTAGCCCCATGTCTCTCAACTCTCTCATCAATCCACTCCCTCATGTCCCTCAATACAAGCTCCACATTCTCATCAGGCTCCCCCTGGATCAACGAATGATACATGCCATCGTACAGCTTCAACCTCTTGTCTGTACTCGACGCCTTCTCGTACAGCAGCTGCGACGAGGTGGGGCACGTCACACCATCCGCCGTCCCGTGCACCGTCAAAAACGGCGCCGTAACCTTCGAGAAATTATCCTGTATGTACTGACATACCCTCGAGAGCTCCCTCATGGTGCCCACCCTGGGTGGTCCCGTGTATCTTCTGGGGTTTGACGCTATGACTTTCAGCTTCTCCGGGTCCTTTATGGCTTTCCCCACCATCTTGTTGTCTGGTAATGTTGCCCAAGTGTCAGCTAATCCAAATAGAAGCCCGTAGAGAAATAGCCGGAGCTTGCTCGGTTTCATCGGCTCTGGAATCACGAAGAGTGGAGCCGAGAAGATTAGTCCCGTCCAAGTCTCCGGCTCCGATTGGAAGTACATCAGCATCGTTACTAACCCACCCATTGATTCACCGAAGAGGAAAGCTGGTAAGTTCTTGTATTCTTCCCTGTATCGCATCTCCTTGAAGAATGATAAGGATGTCGCTGCTACTTTCTCCATGTCACCTACATCAACATTTCGCCCAAATGGTTTATTTAATAGTACTCCAAAATCCCAAGCAAATAGCAGCAACATAAATTTTCTCCAACATAATTAGGATTCATGAATCAAACTTTTTAACAGGAATAAAAGAAATGGAGGTACGAACCCAAGTAGCAACGAATGCCGTCTGATCTGCCATGGCCGAGAAGATCAGCGGCGAAGACGGCGTATCCCCACCTAGCAAAATTGATGCAGATCTTCTGAAAAGCCCAACCAGTGTCAGATCCGTACCCATGGCTCATGTAGACGGAGGCTTTGACTTTTTGATCCAAGGGAAGAAACCTTTGAGTGAATAGCTTTCCATTGGGGGTCTCGAAGTAGGATTTTTCGCTGGTGACTCGTTCCGATGTGTAGTATTCTTCCTCCGGCGTGTAACCCCAGAAATT